GTTTTAAAAATGCAGTATTATAATGTGTAGCAGAAGTTTGTGGTTATAGGAGGGTGGGTGCAGGAGGAAAGAGGAGTGATTGGTGGAATGATGAAGTAAATGGTGTGATAAAAGAGAAAAAGGTAGCTTGTGAGAGGTTTTTACAAAGCAGAAGTGTTATACGAAGAGTAGAGTATATGGAGAGTAAAAGAAAGGTGAAGAGAGTGCAAAAGGAGAGCAGATGATAGAGTGGGAGAGGCACTGTCAAGAAATTTTAATGAAAATAAGAAAAAAATTGGAGTGAGTTAAGTTAAGAAAGCCTAGGGAATGAATGGATTTGTTGGTTAAAAACAGAGTAGGGGATTTAGTAGATGGGGAGATGGAGGTATTGGGTAGATCAAATCAAAGTTTATTCTCTATAAGGATTACAATGCGGGGTTTACAGATTTTGGTTATTGTGTGGTTTACATGTAATAAAATACTAATTACAGAGGGAGCCACTAGAACACCTAGAAAGGCTAGGCATTTCGGGCAAACTTAGATTAATTCTTAACCCTAAATTATTACAAATTGTGGAGTAAGTTGGCTAAATATTAAGTGACTAAATACTAAGTGACTAAATACTAGTTTGTGAGTTTAGCAATGTGAATGCTTTTGTTTTGGCACAATACATAGTTTCTATATTGGAGTATCACAGGCAAACTTGTGACTAGTTAGGAATCATTATTTTAAGATTAAGATACGTATTTCTGTGCTTATAGTCAAATGGGTGAGTGAGTGTAAGTGTGAACCACCAGGTGGTTTTTATGTAGTTGGTTGACGGGGTGTATCAGGGAGATAAGATGTTTTCTAACGGTAGTTTTGAAGGTGATGATTGTGTCTGCAGTTCTAGAGTTTTAGGGTAGGGTGTTCCAGATTTTAGGGCCTTTGACATACATTGAATTTTTGTATAGGTTTAGTCGGACACGGGGAATGTCGTAGAGATGTTTGTGTCTGGTGTTATGCCTGTGGATCCTGTCACAACTATCAAGAAAGCATTTTAAGTCAAGGTTAATATTGGAATTTAAGTCCTGTATATATAGATTGCACAGTAGTAAGTGTGGATGTTCTGAACAGGGAGTAAGTTTAGATCTATGAAGAGTGGGGAGTGTTGCCAGGGATGGGATTTAGTGATTATTCTTACTGCAGCTTTTTGTTGAGCTATTATTGGCTTTAGGTGTATTGCTGCAGTTGATCCCCAAGCACAAATAGCATAGGTAAGGTATGGATAAATGAGTGAATGGTATAGTGTGAGAAGAGCATTTTGCGGCACGTAGTATCGTATCTTGGAGAGGATCCCAACTGTTTTGGATACTTTTTTTTGATATGTGTTGGATATGGGTGCTGAAATTCAGGTTGTTGTTGAGGTATAGGCCTAGGAATTTGCCCTCATTATGTCTGGCAATTAGAGTGCTGTCAATCTTAGTGTTTAGTTGTGCAGCGCCTGCTCTGCTACCAAACATAATATAGTAGGTTTTGTCAGTGTTAAGTGTAAGTTTATTGGCTGTCATCCAAGTTGATATTTTGAGCAGCTCCTCATTAACAATGGTGGTGAGAGTGGCAAGATTAGGGTGAGAGATGACTTTAAGTCGTGTCGTCAGCAAAGAGAATGGGTTTCAGGTGTTGGGATACGTTTGGAAGATCATTGAGGTAAATGAGGAAGAGCAGGGGTCCAAGGACACTTTCCTGTGGAACTCCAGTATCAAGTGGCGGCGTTGATGATGCTGTGTCTTTACTGGTGACATACTAATACTTATTAGTAAGGTAGGATTTGAAATATGCAAGCACATGGCAGGAATATTTTGAGGAACTTTTAAATGTCAACGAAGAAAGGGAGGCGGTAATTTCATACAATGGCCAGGGAGGTATACCACCTTTTAAGAGTGAAGAAGAGCAGGATGTGAGTGTGGGGGAGGTGCGTGAGGCATTATGTAGAATAAAAGGGGGTAAAGCAGCTGGAACTGACGGGATCATGACAGAAATGTTAAAAGCAGGGGATGACATAGTGTTGGAGTGGTTGGTATTTTTGTTTAATAAATGTATGAAAGAGGGGAAGGTACCTTGGGATTGGCAAAGAGCATGTATAGTTCCTTTATATAATGGGAAGGGGGACAAAAGAGATTGTAAAAATTATTAAAGTGTGCGGTAGGGTTATTATTGAAAGAATTAGAGGTAAGACAGAATGTAGGATTGCGGACGAGCAAGGATGTTTTAGAGTGGGTAGGGGATGTGTAGATCAAGTGTTTACATTGAAGCACTATTGTATGGTTAGAATTTGTTGTATACCATGATACAGTTTTAATTTCTTCAAGTTTTCCATATCTGAGTAGTTGAAATTTCTCTTCAGTGAACTTCATACTGTTTTGAGTGGCCCATTTGAAGATTTGGTTGATGTCCGCTTGGAGTCTTGTGGTGTCTTTGATGGAGGACACTGTCATGGCAATTTGGGTATCATCCGCAATAGAAGACACGGAGCTATGGCTTACATCTCTGTCAGATATGAGGATGAGGAATAGGATGGGAGCAAGTACTGTGCTTTGTGGAACAGAGCTTTTCACCATAGATGCCTCGGACTTTACTCTCTTTACTATTACTCTTTGTGTTCTATTTGTCAGAAAGTTATAGATTCATCTATAAACATTTTCTGTTATTCCTTTATCATGCATTTTGTGCTCTATTATACCTTGGTCATACTTGTCCAAGGCTTTTGCAAAGCCTGTGCATGCTACATCTGCATTTTGTTTATTCTCTATAGCATCCAGGACCTTGTCATAGTGGGCCAGTAGCTGGGACAGGCAGGAATGACCTGCTCTAAACCCATGTAGCCCTGGGTTGCGTAATTGAAGGGTATCTAGGTGGTTGGCGATCTTGCTTCTTAGAACCCTTTCAAAGATTTTTATGATATAGGATGTTAGTGCTGTCAGTCTGTAGTGCTTTGCAACTGCTTTACTGCCACCTTTGTAGAGTGGGGCTATGTCGTTTTTAGTGAGTATGGGATGACCCGCGTCCATGCTCCCTCTCCATAGAATGCTGAAGGCACGCGACGGACTTGCATTTCTTGATGAACACGGAGTTCCATGAGTCTGGGCCTGGGGCAGAGTGCATGGGCATGTCATTATTGCCTTTTCAAAATTTTGTGGCATTAGGATAATACTAGATATTTTTGAGATGACCAAATTTTGGGTCTCGTTCATAAAGAATTCATTTGGATTGTTGACCCTTAGTCTGGGTAATGGCTCACTGAACACTGACTCGTATTGGGACTGTAGTATCTCATTTCTTGGCTGTCCTCTGTGTATGTCCCATCTCGCCTAAGCAGGGGCCCAATACTGGAAGTTGTTTTTTCCCTTAGATTTGTCATAAGAGAAAAAGTATTTTTTTTCAGTTTCCTTTATAGCTTTTAGTTCTTCTGCGATTCTTGTTTCCAATAAGATTCCTTCATCTCAAGTTCGATATTTGCTATTTCGTCGACCAGTGCCTCCCTTCGTATTTCAGACATATTGGCCCCTCTCAGCAGCTCTGTGATTCTTCACCTTCGTCTGTATAGGAAGCATCTCTCTCTTTCTAGTTCACATCTTCTCTTTTTCTTAATGGAATGTGCCTTGAGAAGATTTCAAGAACCAAAGTTTATTTATTCTAAGCAAAGGTTTGGATCTGTGTTGTTTAGGATATCTTTCCAGCATGTGTCATTTAGGAAGTTGAATTTTGTGAAGACACCTTCATGACTGATCACACTTTGCTGGTGAGGAGCCCTGTGCATACATGTCTGTACTGTACCTCCATTATGTTGTGATCTGAGTATTGTTTTTGATACGGTTATATTATAAATCGGATCGTCATTGTTAGTGAAGATGAGGTCCAGCGTATTTTCTAGTCTTGTAGGCTCTAATATTTGCTGGTTTAAGGCGAATGTGGTGCAGAGATTTAATAGCTCGTGTGTGTGAATTTTCATCTGAGCTGCCTACTGGGGTGATCTCATTTAAAATATTATTTGCTACACTCTACCATTTTAGGTGTCTAGTTAAAATCTCCCAGTAGCAAGATGTTTGGGGCAGGAGTTGGAAAATTTTCAAAAGCTGTTCCTGGAATTGCTAGGAAGTTGCATCCGGAGGCTTGTATACAAGCCCAGATATACAATCACAATGACAAGGTTTTGGTTTTCAATCTTTACCGCCAAAACTTCAACTACATCATTTGAGTAGTTCTGAGCAAATGAGCGACTCTGTGACGTACAACCCCCCTTCCTTGTTACCTGTTTAGTCTGTCGTATCTGAGTCCCCTCAAGGAAGGTTCCTTGATGTTGGTGAGGGGCTCTTGATTTAGGGAATTGGATCTGTGCTCCAGTTCCCCGAATTAAGCCTGAATGCCTTCCACATCCCCCCCCAGGCGCTGTATAATCCTCCGGGTTTAGCGCTTCCCCCTTGATTATAATAATAATAATAATAATGTCGTATCTGAGTAGGTTATAACCTGGGATCCACATTTCGTTGTCAAAATAATCCTTTATGTGGGTCTCAATGAAATCTGCAAACATTGCAATTGACTCCGTGAGCAGTCCCTTGATGTAAGGAATGTTGCCCAAGGCGCCCAGCCTTCAGGCAGTTGGTTTTCAGTTTTTTCATCTCATCATTTCATGCATTCACCGACGAGAGATTTTTACAATATTTAGAATTTGCAGAACAAGCAAATTATTCACAAACACTAATCTCAGGTCAAAGGAGACTCGAACCTACGAACCTCGGAACAATACTATATGAAAAAAAAAAAGCGGTGGTAATTATGAAGGGTGAACTAAGAATAGCCTAATGGAGCAAAACAGTATGATTTTATTTTTCATTTGCTGGAAGCTAAGCCACGAGTTTATGTGAAATAAATGTTTAACCTAAATACATTATTACATTCACAAGAAAGCGCTAAATTGGAATGGGTCATTCGGTACTGGAGAGTTTACTAAATTAAGATAAATTAATACAAGACACCAGAGAGCACGCCGCATGCATGTGTTAGTGGAGATAAACTGCTTTGTCAGTGTGAATACAGCCTTTGTGAGCTGTAGATACTGCTGCTGTTGCTGCAGCTGCTGTTGGTGGTGGAAGAGGAAGTACGTATATACTGATTTCCCTTGTCTTTTACTGTCAAGTTAGTAAAGTTTTCACTTAATAGCTGGTGAGGGGCTCTTGATCTGGGGAATTGGATCTGAGCTCCAATTCCCTGAATGTCTTCTGTTCCCCACAGGCTCTGTATAATCCCAACAGGTTTAGTGCTCCCCATAATAATAATTCTCTTAATATACACCTCAGGAGTTCTAGTTCACGGTCCTCTGGAATTTTGCTCTTAAATAATTGTCACTTTTATGCTTGCTATGAAGTGTGTGCAGTGTAAATTATTGGTATGAAAAGGCATAAAAAAAAGATTTAAGCCAGTCAATGAATCGATGAAAGTAACGTATCTTTTTTTTTCATGTACAATCCTATTAACATTTTACAAAGTATGAAAACTATTTTTTTTACCTGACTTTTTATTTTTTGGGTTATCCTAGGTTCTCTACACATGTGTTTCTATGTATGATAATTTATGTAACTATTTGTGTATACCTGAATAAACTTACTTACCTACCCTTCATGTGAGATAAGATTTTAATCTCGGAGGGTTAGCCACCCAGGATAACCCAAGACAGTCAGTGTGTCATCGATGTACTGTCCGTCTTATTTCCATTGGGGTCCTCAATCTTGTCCCCCAGGATGCCACCCACACCAGTCGACTAACACCCAGGTACCTACTTGCTAGGTGAACAGGACAACCGATGTAAGGAAACGCGTCGAATGTTTCTACCCTGCTTGGAATCGAACCTGGATCCTCAGCGTGTGAAGCGAGAACTTCTCTCTTAACGTGGGTATGACCGTTAACGATGCCATTGAAGATAAGATAAGATAAAATAAGATTTTTTTTTTTGTAACCCAGGGGGTTAACCACTCAGGAAAACCCAAGAAAGTCAATGGGTCATCGAGGAAATGTCGTCATCAGCTCCCCTCTCCTATGTGCGGGTTATTTGCGTAATGAAGGGCACTCAACCAGTTGAACTCCATCTCCTGGGTTCAGAATAGTAGATGTAAAACAGAAAGAGACAGGCGCTCCCTTTACAGGCGACGGAAAAGAATAACAGAGCGGCTAAAAGAGGTCAATATATCTGAAATGCGTAGGGAGACACTGGTCAGAGAAATAGCAAGCATCGAACTTAAGCTAAAAGAATCCTTTAGGAGTCAGGAATCGCGGGAAGAACTAAAAGCCATAAATGAAATCGAAAAAAACCCAAAGTATTTCTTCTCCTATGCCAAATCAAAATCGAGAACAACTTCCAGTATTGGGCCCCTACTTAAACAAGATGGGTCCTACACAGATGACAGCAAGGAAATGAGTGAGCTACTCAAGTCCCAATATGACTCAGTTTTTAGCAAGCCTCTAACCAGACTGATAGTCGAAGATCAAAGTGAATTTTTTATGAGAGAGCCACAAAATTTGATTAACACAAGCCTATCCGATGTTATCCTGACGCCAAATGACTTCGAACAGGCGATAAATGACATGCCCATGCACTCTGCCCCAGGGCCAGACTCATGGAACTCTGTGTTCATCAAGAACTGCAAGAAGCCCCTATCACGAGCCTTTTCCATCCTATGGAGAGGGAGCATGGACACGGGGGTTGTCCCACAGTTACTAAAAACAACAGACATAGCCCCACTCCACAAAGGGGGCAGTAAAGCAACAGCAAAGAACTACAGACCAATAGCACTAACATCCCATATCATAAAAATCTTTGAAAGGGTCCTAAGAAGCAAGATCACCACCCATCTAGAAACCCATCAGTTACACAACCCAGGGCAACATGGGTTTAGAACAGGTCGCTCCTGTCTGTCTCAACTATTGGATCACTACGACAAGGTCCTAAATGCACTAGAAGACAAAAAGAATGCAGATGTAATATATACAGACTTTGCAAAAGCCTTCGACAAGTGTGACCATGGCGTAATAGCGCACAAAATGCGTGCTAAAGGAATAACAGGAAAAGTCGGTCGATGGATCTATAATTTCCTCACTAACAGAACACAGAGAGTAGTCGTCAACAGAGTAAAGTCCGAGGCAGCTACGGTGAAAAGCTCTGTTCCACAAGGCACAGTACTCGCTCCCATCTTGTTCCTCATCCTCATATCCGACATAGACAAGGATGTCAGCCACAGCACCGTGTCTTCCTTTGCAGATGACACCCGAATCTGCATGACAGTGTCTTCCATTGCAGACACTGCAAAGCTCCAGGCGGACATCAACCAAATCTTTCAGTGGGCTGCAGAAAACAATATGAAGTTCAACGATGAGAAATTTCAATTACTCAGATATGGTAAACATGAGGAAATTAAATCTTCATCAGAGTACAAAACAAATTCTGGCCACAAAATAGAGCGAAACACCAACGTCAAAGACCTGGGAGTGATCATGTCGGAGGATCTCACCTTCAAGGACCATAACATTGTATCAATCGCATCTGCTAAAAAAATGACAGGATGGATAATGAGAACCTTCAAAACTAGGGAGGCCAAGCCCATGATGACACTCTTTAGGTCACTTGTTCTATCTAGGCTGGAATATTGCTGCACACTAACAGCACCTTTCAAGGCAGGTGAAATTGCCGACCTAGAAAATGTACAGAGAACCTTCACGGCGCGCATAACGGAGATAAAACACCTCAATTACTGGGAGCGCTTGAGGTTCCTAAACCTGTATTCCCTGGAACGCAGGAGGGAGAGATACATGATTATATACACCTGGAAAATCCTAGAGGGACTAGTACCGAACTTGCACACGAAAATCACTCACTACGAAAGCAAAAGACTTGGCAGACGATGCACCATCCCCCCAATGAAAAGCAGGGGTGTCACTAGCACGTTAAGAGACCATACAATAAGTGTCAGGGGCCCGAGACTGTTCAACTGCCTCCCAGCACACATAAGGGGGATTACCAACAGACCCCTGGCAGTCTTCAAGCTGGCACTGGACAAGCACCTAAAGGCAGTTCCGGATCAGCCGGGCTGTGGCTCGTACGTTGGTTTGCGTGCAGCAAGCAGCAACAGCCTGGTTGATCAGGCTCTGATCCACAGGAGGCCTGGTCACAGACCGGGCCGCGGGGGCGTTGACCCCCGGAACTCTCTCCAGGTAAACTCCAGGTAAATAGAAATTCTGGAGCCGCCATCGCCCGACTTTCATGTTTATTAATTCACCGTGCGGTGTGCGGTGTTAGTTAACACAGTAGATCACAGTGAATATCATTGTTGGATATGCATGGTGCTTACTTAACTACTTCCTCTAGTGTATTAATATCTTATCTTATATTTGGTTCTCTCGAGACGGAGGGAGGAGGGGAAGGGGTCTTCATGTAAGTGGAACTATCCTTCCCTTCCAGTCCCTCTCTTCCTTCTAATCCTTCCCTGCCAGTCCTTCTCTTCCTTCCCTTCTAGTCCTTTTCTTCCTTCCCTTCTAGTCCTTTTCTTCCTTCCCTTCTAGTCCTTTTCTTCCTTCCCTTCTAGTCCTTTTCTTCCTTCCCTTCTAGTCCTTTTCTTCCCTTCCAGCCCTTCTCTTCCTTCCCTTCCAGCCCTTCTCTTCCTTCCCTTCCAATCCTTCTCTTCCTTCCCTTCCAATCCTTCTTTCCTTCCCTTCCAATCCTTCTCTTCCTTCCCTTCTAATCCTTCTCTTCCTTCCCTTCCAGTCCATTCATCCTTCCCTTCCAGTCCTTCTTTCCTTCTCTTCCAGTCCTTATCTTCCTTCCCTTCCAGTCCTTCTCTTCCAGTCTTTCTCTTTCCTTCCTTCCAGTCTTTCTCTTCCTTCCCTTCCAGTCTTTCTCTTCCTTCCCTTCCAGTCTTTCTCTTCCTTCCTTCCAGTCCGTCTCTTCCTTCCCTTCCAGTCCTCCTCTTCCTTCCCTTCCAGTCCTTCTCTTCCCTTCCAATCCTTCTCTTCCTTCCCTTCCAATCCTTCTCTTCCTTCCCTTCTAATCCTTCTCTTCCTTCCCTTCCAATCCTTCTCTTCCTTCCCTTCTAATCCTTCTCTTCCTTCCCTTCTAATCCTTCTCTTCCTTCCCTTCTAATCCTTCTCTTCCTTCCCATCTAATCTTTCTCTTCCTTCCCTTCTAATCCTTCTCTTCCTTCCCTTCTAATCCTTCTCTTCCTTCCCTTCCAGTCCTTCTCATCCTTCCCCTCCAGTCCTTCTCATCCTTCCCTTCCAGTCCTTCTCATCCTTCCCTTCCAGTCCTTCTCACTTCCCTTCCAGTCTTCTCTTCCTTCCCTTCCAGTCCTTCTCTTCCTTGCCTTCCAGTCCTTCTCTTCCTTCCCTTCCAGTCCTTCTCTTCCTTCCCTTCCAGTCCTTCTCTTCCTTCCCTTCCAGTCCTCCTCTTCCTTCCCTTCCAGTCCTTCTCTTCCCTTCCAATCCTTCTCTTCCTTCCCTTCCAATCCTTCTCTTCTTCCCTTCTAATCCTTCTCTTCCTTCCCTTCTAATCCTTCTCTTCTTCCCTTCTAATCCTTCTCTTCCTTCCCATCTAATCTTTCTCTTCCTTCCCTTCTAATCCTTTCTTCCTTCCCTTCTAATCCTTCTCTTCCTTCCCTTCCAGTCCTTCTCACCCTTCCCCTCCAGTCCTTTCATCCTTCCCTTCCAGTCCTTCTCATCCTTCCCTTCCAGTCCTTCTCATCCTTCCCTTCCAGTCCTTCTCTTCCTTGCCTTCCAGTCCTTTCTTTCCTTGCCTTCCAGCCCTTCTTTTCCCTTTCCCCTTCCAGTCCTTCTTTCCTTCCCTTCCAGTCCTTCTCTTCCTTCCCTTCCAGTCCTTCTCTTCCTTCCCTTCTAGTCCTCCTCTTCCTTCCCTTCCAGTCCTCCTCTTCCTTCCCTTCCAGTCCTTCTCTTCCTTGCCTTCCAGTCCTTCTCTTCCTTCCCTTCCAGTCCTTCTCTTCCTTCCCTTCCAGTCCTTCTCTTCCTTCCCTTGCAGACCTTCTCTTCCTTACATAAATTATCATACATAGCAGCATATGTATAGATTACCTAGGAACTGGATTTAGCTTCCCCCATCCTTGGACCGTCCCTGGATACCTCTTGCTTCCCAGCCACAACATGACCCCTACACGTTTAGCATTTCTTCCTGATTAAGGTAAAAGAATCCGATAATTAACTATGAGTGTAGTACGTATACAGTAATCATGTCTGACTATTTTTGGTTATTTATCAGACTTTTTTGGGCTGTTTAGCTGACTTTTTATTTTTTTGATTATCCACAGTAATTTACACTATGATAATTGTACTTGTGTGTATCTGTGCCTAAATAAATATACTTCCCCTGGTTCTCTTCGGGTGTATGTGTGTGTATAGTGTGTGCTAAAGTTTGTAGTTATTTTATTCTGTAATAACCAATATTTCTTCTGCCCATCTATACAATAGTATTTTATTTAAAGGAGGCTGTGACAATGTCTGGAGAAAACCTTAAAGGAAAACCTGCAGCTATTGTTTATGGATATAATGGTGACCTGAAGGAAGAAGACTTACAGCAGTCACTGAATACCTTGCAAAGCTCATCTGCTGACCACTTAAACAGTGCTAGAGAAACCTACACACAACTGGAAGACCCACATGAAGAAGATTCAGGGGATACCAGCAGATACAAAAATAACATTGTTGAAATACAAGGTAAGAAATATCTTAAAAAAAAAAAGTTGAAATTCCAGTCTTCTACCTAGCTCTATCAACAAATGCAAAGTTTTAATTCTTGCAAAGGTTACAATGTGTGTGATTTACATTTTATAAAATGTTAAATACACAGAAAGCTACTAACATGCCTTAGTATTTTGGGCAGAAATGTTTCCTGATATGGCTTGTATTCAACTTGTTTAGTGTTATGGAAAAAGTTTTAAATCTTGAGAGATATAAAACAATAAAAACTTAAACAGTAAACAATTTTATTTCTTTGCACAGGTTACAGTGTGTAAATGCATATAAATGCAAAATGCCCCAGCATACTAGTGGCTTTCTTTCTACCCATCCACTAGTATGCTGGAGCATTTTGCATTTTAGGCAGTCATTTAGGGAAATTTTTGCTTCAATACTTAGGCATGATTCTACTCCCAATCTCCATAAGTTTGTTACCTGGAGTATACCTGGAGAGGGTTTCGGGGGGTTAATGCCCCTGCAGCCCGGTCTGTGACCAGGCCTCATGGTGGATCAGGGCCTGATCAGCCGAGCTGTTACTGTTGGCCACATGTAAACAGACGTACGAACCGCAGCCTGGCTGGTCAGGTACTGACTACGAAGGAGAGTTAAGAGGGAACATAGGATAAAAAAAAATTATGGACAGCTGGATGCTGAATCGTACTGATTGCACCAACTTAAGATTATGGAGGTTATGTAAAAGAGAGTTCACAGCTTGGCACTTCCATCTTGGCTACTAGTACAGTATAAAGGTGACCAACTACTGTGGACTTTTCTGTGTTTCCACGATATATAATATCAGTTTATCATTAGAAAGTTTAGTCTAGAACTTGTAAATTGTTCAACTCGAATACTCACTTCGTTTGTTAAATTTATCCTAATCATTATTTAGGGGGTTCCAGTAATTTTTATTGTTTATTTTGCATAAGATTTTTGCAGCATATTCATCTTGTTATTTTTCTGGCAAGTCATTTATATAAACTTATAATAGGGTTCAGTACTGATTTTCACATAGCCTGGGGATTTTCAATTAGCAAAATTGTTGATTCATTGTTTTCTTTGTAAATTTTAAATACATACTGTACTACTACAGTATTATCATAGAAATGCAAAATGATGCACAGTACTTTAACCCTTTGACTTTCAGTCGTATATATAATTCTTACGCGCCACTGTTTCTGACGTATTTATACGTGTAAATTCGAGTGGCTTCAAATCAAGTGGGAGAAAGGTGGTAGGCCCACATGTGAGAGAATGGGTCTGTGTGGTCAGTGTACACCACATAAAAAAATCCTGCAGCATGCAGTGCGTAATGAGAAAAAAAAAGCTGACCGTTTTTTTCGATTAAAACGCCAAATTTGAGGTGTATTTTCGTATAGTATTTATCATTGTATTCTCGTTTTCATGGTCTCAGGTGATAAAATAGAAAACATGTTACGGAAATAGAGATGATTTTGATTATTTTCACGATGAAAACAACCTTGAAATTGAGCTCAGAGTAGTGGAAATGTTCGATTTTTACCAATGTTCAGGAGTAAGCAAATCACACCACACGTCCAATACACTTGAACTGGGGAGTCTAATATTCTTTTACAAGTGCACTGATATTATTTATACCATTTTTACAATAATGCAGTTGTCTGCATAATAACAGTAAATTTTGTATTTTTTTGTATGAATAAAAAATCAAAATAGAAAGCAATAGTAATATAAGAGGGGCCTAGAGACGTGACTAATGAACAGAGGATATGTTATTTTAGTGCCAAGAATGTCTACATTGTTTATTCTGGACCCTATTTTGAAATTGGCATCTTTTTTAATTTGCGTGAAATTGGCCAAATTGCCAATTTCTGACCACTTTATTGGGTAGTTCAAATCGGTAAATGTGCAGTTTCTTGTACTCAACTGATAGAAAAAAATGGAGTTCTAAAGAAATAGCTATGAGTTTGGTCAACTGGACCAGTGGAATTGGCCAAAAACAGGTCTCAAAGCCGGCGAAATCGCCGATGCGTATATGTCGCCAAGACCGCTAACTTTAAGGGAGCGTAATTCCATGAGTTTTCGACCAAATTTCGTACTTTTGGTGTCATTACCACCGGGAAAAGATTGTCTTTTATTTCATAAGAAAAAATAATTTTTTCTTTTCCAAAAACTTATCAACATAGAATGACAGTTTCAGAAAGGGGCCTGCGACAGTCAAAGGGTTAAGAGGTAAAAAAGTAGTAACATTCTCTATATCTGTTATTTGTCCAAATTTACTGTTCTGTTTTAGCTCCCATAAACAAGTAGCATATAGTACTGTATTATTTATAAGCTGTTCTCTTCAGTGGGGATTGGGGGATGGGGGATGAGATGCCTTGAAGCTGGTGAAGTACTACTAATCCAGGGAATTAAAGCTGCCCTAACTTTCCTTGGATCAAACCAGAGTCACGCCTTAACTCATAACTTGATGATAACACTTTCAGCTCAGGATGAAAGGTTTGCTCTTGGGCTATCATTATATTACTGGGCAAGCTGTCATGTATGATCTACTCCAGTTTTTCTACTACTATGTAACTATTCACGAAGCAGTAAATAGGTACCTTGGTGTAATCATCTTCTGTGGGTTGCATCTTGCAGAAGAGTACCAAAGAACCCCAGTGTGAATAAGCTGCACTGTTTGGCTTTCTTGGGTTATTCTGGGTTAATAATTCAAAGAAAGCTTTCTTCTTCTTCAGCAATAGATGTTAGTAAAAACAGAGGTGCACAGTACAATATTTAGTTTGTCTTTTTAAATTATTAGTAGTACATGCATTCATTGAGTGAGCTTGACTTGGTAAAATTGAAATAAATATCTGAGTTAAAAGAGCGGAGATTTCATAATTTATGGAATAGTGCTTAAAAAATCGTACTGCAGTAAATCTGCAATTTAACAGACTGATGGGAGGGAGGAAAGCCTGTGATGGTGATTGTGGCGTATAGAGATGAGATTGTTTTGCTGTCATTATAACGATAACAAATAATTATGTGACTAATGGACAATGTTGTTTCTGAATAAGTTGATGCAGCTGATTTTGTCCCATATTTCCAACGTCTATTAAATCAAGGTTTGTTAAATTGAGGGTTTACTGCACAAAGGAAAACTTAGAAATTGTGTATTCTCTCGTAGAATTGTTGTCTTCTTAAAACAAAGCATGTTTAAGGTATAGTTCGTGCCACTCCTGGGCATATACTCTAGCAATATTAGAGAGAGATTCAGCAGTGAAACCTGTTATTATAGTAAATACCATACAGTAGATTTTTTTAAATTCCTGCTCTTAAGTATTAAAAATGACTTCTGAGAGTCATTTTTAATACTTTATGATATTAATTTTTGTGTAAAATTTCATCAATTCTGTCTGCAGAAAAATCAGGTGAAAATGAAGGGAGACACTGTTGTGAGAGATGTCGTTCAGCAACTTTCAAGGTTTATACCTCTCACTTCCTTTCATCGTGGGGAGATCGCATGTGGATGTTTGCTGGTGGACTTTTCCTTCTTGAAGTATGTTTATTAATCTAGTAAAATGATTTTGCTCATTATATATATGACCTCTTAGATCATATATAGTAATAAGTTTCTTGAGAGTCACAGTCTTCTGGGTTGTGTTCCTGATCATGCCTCTCTAGGTTCACAAATAGACTTGCACAAACAAGGTCACTGAAAGTCCCTTGAGGCCCTAACTATATCCACTTATGTTATTGAATGCTGTTAATCTTATCAAAATATTAATCTCCTTAGACATTGATTTTAATAGTTTTAGTAATAATGTAAAGTAATATAAAGAAATTTATATGCATTACCATAATCAGTTAATAGTTATTGTCTTCTTATTTAGTTATTGTATTCTTATTTTGCCAGCAAGATGGCAGCACCTCACCTGCATCATGACATAATCTTCAGATATGATCTCATTGTATTTATATGCACAGAAGGCAGAATGCAGCCTTACTATTTATTCTAGTATACAGCAGTTGCATTGTTATCATAAATAACATGGTTGCATGTGCTGTTAATTATTTTATTCACCTCTTGCTGTATGAAAATTATGTACTTATAGATACATATAATGTTTAAAGAATGTTAACATAATCTATTACATAAGTACCAATTTGAGTGTGATTTATTAGAATTTTGATGGACAGAAAACAACTTTAATAGAAAATTAATAAAACAACAGAAATTAGTTTTTTTAACTTTGCAATCATTAATGTAAACAAAATGTATTCATAGTTACTAAAGTTACATTATACCATTTAAGAATAAATTGCTAATTATGTACTATAATGTTTAATTTGATAACAGTACGTATTTCATATTTTTTTAGTTTTGAATAGGCTGTTAATTGAAGAAATTTGTTACTAAATGATAATGTAGTTGATCTTTGAATAAAAACATAGTATTAATTTATGACAATAAAGACACAACATTTGTGACCCGTTCTAGGTCACTCCGGGATCCTTGCGCCTTGCAGCTGTATATGGGGCATCTCTTGCTCTCACTGTTATAATTTTTGGTGCGCCAGTTGGTCACTGGGTGGACCGTACATCAAGACTAACCAGTAAGTTAGGTGGTTAATGAGTTCAGCACACTAAAATGGCATTTGGTAGCATATTTGCAGTCTCTGGGCCATCACTATATACATACATTCTATTATAGATCCAGCTTTCATCAGCAAATTTTTTTGGTAAAGTGTTCAGTAGGAACACTTTGTTCATGGGTTGAAATCTATGCATGTTATGCACCTACTGTACACTGCATTTCTACATATAAGATACATCATGGGTAAAAACAACATTCAGTACCCACTTTCCACCTTAAATGTTATTTTCAAAGATGCTGTATATACCAGAAAGATAGAATCAGCTGCTTTAGTAAACAATCAAGGTAAAAAATTCTTTATATAAGTATGCTGTATATTGACTCATTTTTACAGGTGCTCAGGTGAGTTTGAGCATACAGAACATCATGGTGTGCCTATGTGCTGCACTTCTGGTTGTTATTATTACACAACATCACATATTTAATGCCTGGGATGGCTGGTTGCTGGTCATTGCTGAGGTGAGTTGGAGATAAAATTCAATATGGAGGGGGTAAAAGAGGTTTTGTAGACAAGGGGCTTGGACTTCCAGCAAGTGTGCGTTAGCGTGTTAGATAGGAGGGAATGGAGACGAATGGTTTTTGGGACCTGATGAGCTGTTGGAGTGTGGGCAGGGTAATATTTTGTGAAGAGATTCAGGGAAACCAGTTAGCCGGACTTGAGTCCTGGAAATAGGAAGTACGGTGCCTGCACTTTAAAGGAGGGGTTTGGGATATTGGCAGTTTGGAGGGATATCTGAACTGTCATATCTGGGTGTCTCTGCAAAGACAGTGATTATGCATGAGTGATGGTGAAAGTGTTGAATGATGATGAAAGTTTTTTCTTTCTTTTTGGGTCGCCTTGCCTTTGTGGGAAACGGCCGACATGTTAATTTTTTTTTTTTTTGTGTTGCATCAGTTCATAGGCTTAAAAAGAGTTATTTACATGTTTACTGTTTTTTAGTGTAGTAATAGTAGTAGTAGTAATAATAATAATAATAATAATAATAATAATAATAATAATAATTCTTTCAACAAACCGGCCGCATCCCACCAAGGCAGGGTTGCCCAAAAAGAAAAACGAAAATTTCTCTTTTTAAATTTAGCAATTAATACAGGAGAAGGGGTTACTAGCCCCTTGCTCCTGGCATTTTAGTCGCCTCTTACAACACGCATGGATTACAGAGGAAGAATTCTGTTCCACTTCCCTATGGAGATAAGAGGAAATAAGCAAGAATAAGAACTAGAAAAAAAATAGAAGAAAACCCAGAGAGGTGTGTGTGTATATATATGCTTGCACATGTATGTGTAGTGTGTCCTAAGTGTAAGTAGAAGTAGCAAGACATACCTGAAATCTTGCAGCTTCGTGAGCCAGAAAAAAGGACACCAGCAATCCTAACCATCATGTAAAACAATTACAGGCTTTCGTTTTACACTCGCTTGGCAGGACGGTAGTACCTACCTGGGCGGTTGCTGTCTACCAACCTACTACCTAGAATAATAATATAATAATAATAATAATAATAATAATTTAAAAGATTTAGCAAGATAGGGTGATTGAAATGCACTTATTGTACAGTGCCAGTACAACTCTTCCTTGGCTGTACAATCAGTTGCAAGTTTTGGGGCTTCCTCCTATGTTGTGATTTGCTGTACATACATTTTTTTTTTTTTTGTCTTCTACACTCAAAATCATTAATTTTAATTGCCTGTTTTCATCTTAATCTCACAATCAGTTTAGTACAGAAATCCTTGTCTTATTCTCAAAATTGTTTTCTAAAAAAATTTGTTCCTGGGGCAACATGGTTACAAGCAAGTACACAAGTTTACAGGAAAGACCCAAAATAAATACACTTTATATCCTTTTTAAATTATATGGTTGAAAAGGAAGGGAAGGTTAATGAATTTATGATGAAAATATGGAAACTGGAGAGTTGAATGTAGGTGGCTTCGTGTGTGCTGGGCTTTGTATAGGAAGACTGCCTATCAGTATTGTGCAAGAGGTTTTTCTAGGTTGAAAGTGCCATGTTTCTTTTTGACATTGTTATATACCCTGATGATGTTGGCTTCCATGCACTTCTTGCTAACTCTATTACCCTTCTATTAAGATAAAGCTGAGGAAGTGTCTAGAAGCAGCTATCTTCTGGGTACATGGCATTATTTAGCAACATCAAGTTGGTTTCAGCACTTCAAAACATATTGCATATCTACTGCTAGGTAACTCTTCCTTGCAAAACCCTACACACATAATGCCCCCTACAACTGGGCCTCCAAAAATATGAATGCACTTGCAAAAACCTCTCATCCAAATTTTACTATATCATCTGCCAGCATATGATATCACCCATGTGATGCCCAAGTCACACCTTCATTCTCACCTTATTAAACACACTGTATGAGGAGTAGTTACATGTTTTCTGTATAACTTGTTACAGCTTCCCTTGAGTGCAGCATTGTTATAATAATGGCTTATTCTTTTTTATGTCTTTTCATCTACTTGTCATTTTGCTGCCTTTTTCACCTGATCCTCCAATGTATTGTTTGAGGTGATGAATAAAAACACAGTAGAGAGGAAATTGTCTTTTTCACTACTAGTTTATACCTAGTTGTACTTTAGTTCATTCCAGCACAACACACAGACAACATCAACTTCATTATGTGTAGTAGTGACTATACCCTACATGACCAAAATACTCTAGCTATATACTTGTCCAAACTTTCAACCACTACAGATATCAGTAGTAGAACTCAACACACAACTCAGGATATAAATAACCATAATTTTAAACCTAGAAGATGATTGATCACGTTGACCCTGATCTAAACCTCCATAATCTGACACCCAATCATAACCTATTGGAAAGTAATGCCTTTATTACACAGCATCACAAGCCACCACTATCCTAAACAATGCTAAAAGTCTATCAGTACTTAACTACAACATCAGGTCCTCCTAGCACTCCTTGAATCACTAAAGACACCCTTCTCCTGCATTATTCTTACTGAGACCTGGCTTAAGCAGGACACAATAGATATCTACCCTCTACCAGGATACACAGCAATTCACAACTGCAGAACAAACCAAGTTGGGGGTGGTATTGCAATCTATTACTCTAACCAATTATCTTGTCTTAGCACCACTTGCTTTAGTGATGAATATGGGGAATACATTTTTGCTAATTTTACTGTAAAAAACCTTAAGACGCCTATAACAATTGGTGCCATTTACCGGATACCTCACAAAAATCCCAAATTTCAGTGAGAAATTAAAGTCACTAATAACAACAGACAAATGAATAAAGCACCACCTTTCCCCTTTGCTGGAGACTTCAAAATCAAACCCTTTGGGTTACTAGATGATCAGCCTGTAACTGATTTCATCAAACAATATTGAACAACACAATTCTCATACCAACAATAACTAAACCAACCAGGCTCACTGAGACAAGTGCAACCATAATAGGGCCACATATGGACCAATATACTAGCCCCCCTTAAATCAGGATAATCACAGATAGCACTCAGACCACTACCCCACCTTCCTCCTGACAAACATTAGTAAACCACCACTTGAATTTCAACAAAGTCTCATTTAGACTCCATGACGAGGCCTCAGTAAGGAATTCACAGCTGACCTAGAGACTGTTGATTGGCCTACAGAATTCTTCCCAAAGGGCCAAAGGTATTGATGACTGGCAGACATCTTTTTTTAACAAATTACTTAGGGCTTTACAACAAACATTGTCCTATAAAAACAAAACAGACCACAAACAAAGGCTTGGTTGCCCATGGCTAACCAGCACCATTCTGAAATCCATTGACAAGAAACAAACCAATATGAAAAGCAATATAGACAGGGCTTAATACACAAAGATATTCTTAAACACTATTCATCAGCTCTCACCAAAGTAATAAAAAAAGCCAAACAACTATACTACTCCCGTAGATTCACAGACACTAGAGGAGATATAAAAAAGACCTGGAAAACACTCTCTCAGATTCTAGGGACCCACAAACTGAGAAAACCAAGAATATTGTCCTAACTAAACCTAATGAAACACCACTACATCCCACTGACACAGCTAACAAGATAAAACGACTTCTTCTCAAATAGGATCTAATCTCGCCAGTAAAATCCCACATACCAAATTTCCCAGCTGGGGACTACTAGATGGAAATTTCCCTAATTCCTTCTATCTTGCACCAACTGAGCCCACGGAAGTCAAATTGAGATATAAAATCACTTAAAAATAACTCGGGGAAATCTGTCTCATGTCCCCCATTACTGTACAAGGTGAGCGGCCCCATGTCCTTTCGCATGCTATTTCATTTCTTTTTAACAAGTCAATAGAGACTTAGCACCTTCCCGAAACTACTCAAGATGGCAAGGGTTACACCATACATAAAGGTGGTGACCCTACAGACTTAAACAACTATAGGCCAATATCTAACTTACCCTTGCTTCCAAAAATCTTTTAGAAACTCATGCACAGGAGACTGTATTCATTTTTTAAAAGGCTCAAAACTACTCAACCCCTGCCAGTTTGATTCAGGGAAAATAAAGCACTAATGATGCAATCTTAAAAATGCTAGATCTGCCTTTCACAGCATTGGAAAATAAGGAATATCACTGAATTTTTATGACCTAAGAAACTTTTGACACAATAACCACGAAATCCTACTCCACAAACTTGACCCCTACGTATAAGGGCCATGCGCTTGCTTTTCAAATCTTACATTACTAATGGTATCAGTATGTCACCATAAAACCCCCTTGACTGTTTCCCACGTAATAATTCCTTAGGACCAATGTTTCAATTATACCATAAATTTCAAACCCCCAGCAGTTCAAATAAGCAAAAACTGCCACCCACTGTAGAGAATTCTCCAGGTCAGATTTTTCACCAATAAAAAAAAATCGGGAGCCAGTGTGCATTTAACCATTTCAAATTTTCACACACTCTAATTAAGAAAAATGGGAATTCCCCCCCAAAACCCAAACCCTTTCCCCCAAGTGATGCTCTAACACAGATTGGATTTCTTAAGATCAATTTCTATTTGGAGTTTGAACCCAAAAATCCAATTTTAGGTGGAGGGGAGGAAGAGGAGGAAAAGGAGAGAGCGAGGGAAGGGAAGGAAGAGGAGGAAAGAGAGGAAGGAGGGAAGGATTGAAGGTTTAAAAAAAAGGAAAATTTAGATAGGGAGGAGAGGAAGAAGAAACCTTGTAAAATTAATATTGTTCCTTAAGCAATAAAAAAAAGCACCCATACCGTGACAAGATAAAAAGGGAGATACTCTATTAAGACTTGACTTTATACTAAAGGATAATATTACACAGTGACCAATCGCCCTCACCTTTGTTTTGTGTGTACACAAACATTTCTGTCTGTCATTTTCTTCTGTCAACTCCCTGTCTTTCCCCTCTAGCCCCTTTTTGTCTCAGAAGGAAAGCCATCAAGGGCTGTGTCATCACTTTAACTCAA